TTGGAATCCGCAGTTTTCTGGCTGTATCCAAGTCAAAACATTCCCTATTCGTGCTGGTAGATAAGGGAGGCAGACAAAGCCAGATCCATGTCGGATGCAGGCGGCAGCAGGCAGTAGGCTTAGGGCAAGGGTACCACTTCTGTGACTTTCAAACTCAGAGCAAACCAGGCTGAGCTTAGTGTCTCCCTGTTAGTGTGAGCCCAATGTTCTGTCCTTAAACCCCTCAGGCGCTCTGTTGCAGCCTGACACAGGTCCCTGACCACAGTTGTTTCCTGTAGCTCTCCCTCACCCTGTCACAGTGAAAATGTATCACTGGTGTCCTTGGACTGAAAGTTTACAATAGCTGCTCTGAGTCCTGGATTCAAACATTCATTTCATCACTGGGATGGTGTCTAAGCAAGCACTTTCTCCATGGTGACCAGTAGATAAGACTTACCTACTGTTGTACCTGGCAGCATACATCCATCTGTTTCAACACTGTGCTTCCTCTCTGAAGCCTTGTAGCCTGGTCTACTTTTACTTTATAGAGTCAGTCTTTGTTTCTACTAAGCCACAAGCCAGGAGCTAGGGACAAAATGACATGGCCCTTCCTTTTTCCATATTATGTTCTCTCCCTTTCATTTTTCTGTACAATTAATTTTCCTGCCAAACTCTTCCTTTTTCCAGGGGTTTGTTCCTTACGTTTTTTTTCTACCTATAGTTCTCTTACAGGGTCTGTATTCTGAATCTTGGAGAGGCTGAGTTGTTGCTTACCATCCCATCCTACTTTCAGAGATGGTGTCCAAGGTGGTGTCCAATACCAACATGATATTTGGTACTGTCATGGGGAGGCCTCAGGAGAGTCAGCAATAGCCGCTCTAGAGACTATAAGCCTGCAACCATGTGTGGGTCCACGTCCCAGAGGGACAACTGGGTTCCCTTGGCTTCAGGATTTTGAAACTCTACATTGGCAAAATTGATAGTTGGTGTCAGGAAACTGTTGGAATCTATATTCTAGGCTTTTTCTACACAAACTCCACTCTATAAGGAGGTTTCAAAGCTGAGGACACATTACATTCCAAATCACCCTACCTTCCTGTGGGCTGTAGGGAGAACGCAGCATAAGCACAGAGCTAGGAAGGAGTGTATCCTTTCGTAGGGGAAATGGCTGGCCGTGCTGAAGTTGACAGGGGCCATGATGAAGAGGTCCTGATGGGGAGAGCAGATGACAGAAAGTGGACATACTTAGAAAAGGGATGTGGTAAAAGGGTCTGGAGGGGGACAAAAGAGAAGGAACATCATTGTTGGGTCACCTCCCAGTTGTTATCTATTTGGGGACAGAGAAGTCCTTTGCAGTTGAGAACAGTCATGAGAATGGAGGCCATGATGCCCAGGAGGTAGATCCAAGGGACTTTTTGAGATACAGCTTCAAGATCACTTGGATGAGGTGGGGGTTCTAAGCTACAGTAAAGTGTTCCCAAGAACTAGGAAAGGGTTCAGGGACTGAAAATGACAACATCCAGAGACACTATACAAAGGAAGACTGTGGACTGGACTCAGAGAGTAGAGGCCCCAGGCCTAGGAAAGTGAACAGATCTACCCAAGCAGTAAAAGCTAGGGCCTGAGGGAGCTTGGGATTTAGCTCAGCGACACAGCACCAGCCTGACAAGTGCAACGTTATAAGTTCGATGCCAGTACCGGGGGAAAAAAAAAAAAAGCCAGGGCCTGAGGGTAGATGGTGCCCAGTACTAAGAGGCACAGGAGTTAGCATGTGAGATGGAAGCTCCACACAAGAACGGAGATAGAAGGACTGTATTGTTGGATCACTGTCCTCCCAGAGCTGTGCCACATTGACAGCCTGTTTCAGCAGAGAAAGATCTCAGCTTTTCTGATACTGTGATGGTTTTGAACAAGGTCAGGAATCCCTTGAACAAGGTCTCATTTGTAAAGAGAACACAGCATTAGCGTAGGACTAGCACAGTTTTTCTCATGGAGCTAGCAAACAGGAGAAGTGCTGCCATTGAGTTGAAGATTCAGGAAGCAACAAGGGTGACCAGAAAAGGAAAAGGACACTTGATAGGGGACATGGTCTCAACCTTCCAAATCTTATAGGAACTACTTAATGAGAGCCTTGAGCACAGCTTGGTGGCCTCATGGCACGTGCATATAGCACTTCCAGACTCAGAAAACATGCAAGTTCTTTTCTTCTCGGAGAGACCCATGAGAGTGTGAATATGTCCCTATCACTCATCTAGTGCTAGAAACATTTGCATTGAGAAGAGTCAGAAAGACATCTGTGAGACTCGGAGGTGTTGAAATCAAGTTTTCTGGTTTCAGTGGGGGAAAAGTTTATCATGTTTAAACTCTACCGTCTCCATGTTCCGGAGTAGGATGCAGCCACCATCCTCTGGAAAGGGAAGCTCCTTCCTTACCTTGACCCTTTGATGGGAAAGGAAGGGACCACACTGTTCTCCTGTTCTTAAAGAAGCCAGGTGGAGGCACAGTCTTGGGTCTCCTCACTGACAGGCTGGTGAAGGCTGTGTGGTGCTCAGGCATCAGTGACCACAGGTGCTTCCTTTCAGTCATCATGTGGATTCCACACGGTGGCTCCATGCCCCCATGTGCTGAGAATCAGACCAAGCAGTCCAGGCCTGCCTGTGATTCTTTAGGTCCAGATGAATATTCCTTTCTCTTCCAGCTGGGAATATTCCTCTCTCTTCTCACAGTGATGTGAGAGCTTGAATCCAGGCCTCTGTGGTAATTTCAAAAAAGAAAAACAAAACAGGCATATTGTCATCTTCACATCCCTTCCCTTCTCATGAGCTCTCCTTTGCCTATTTTGGCCAGAAGGCTGAGAAAGGTAGTAGTTTCTAATCAAGGATCTGGATCAGAATGACCTGGATGGTCCTGCAGCTCAAAGGGACTCTGAAAAATAGTCTGTCTGCATATTATGGCCAGAGGGCTGTGGGCAGCTGATAGATGCCAACAGACCTGAGGAAAGAAATCAGGATTACTGTGAAACCTCGCACTTGGAGTTCAATCTCTGATCATCTAAGAGCATTGTCTTCTGCCCAAGCCATAGACTTCTTCACTGTCATCCCTTCTAGAACCATTTTTCCAAATTTTATGTTGCCGATCTCTACTTGCCTGCACTTCTGCTTGCCAGGGTCCACTTCTCCTGTACTTCTGATGTCTTCTTCCAGTATACAAACTGTCACAGGTATATAGAAGGTATGCATGAATCTCAGCTTGCCATATGTATCCTGGAAACTCATCTTCTATCCCCTCCATGCTCCGCAGCTTTTTAGCTTTTCACTCAGGAGTGATTGACCATCCTTGTCACAGTCCTGTCTTTTCTGACTCGCATCCTCATTGTCCTTAATCCCTGCTTTGTTTATTGTCACCCCCCATGGCTGAAGCTGGCCCCTCCCTTAATGGTTCTGTCACTTTGTCCTCATCCAGGATGTCTTCTGAGGAGCTCATCTGGGGCACTACTGTGAGGATTTGGCAGTCATTTGACAAGTGCATATGAGTTCTCTCCAACAGCGTCTTCCTCTCCACAAATCCCAGGCTCTGCTCTGCCCAAATCGTATGAGGCCCAGCCTAGTCTTATGTATCAAAGTGACATTCACCAGGCTGACACACTTATTGGACTACAGGCCACCCTCCTCTGCACACCACATTTTACCTGTTTTCCATTGTAGGTTTGACTGGTATTCACAAGAGAAATAAGGAAATGAGGATTGGGATGTGTTCTGGGAAATGGCCATTTCCTTCAATGTGTCATTTTGCCAAGCTCAGAAAGTAAACTCACCCAACTGTGAGAGCTAGCAGGGCAGGACATAATACCATCTCATAGGACCACTTTATCTCTGGGGTCAACTTTGCTTCTGTTGTGTAGGCAACTCTCTATGCCCCAGCCAAAGGTTTTCTCATGCTGAGTAGGAACTCCGCCCCTATAAAAATGTAGGTGGCCCATCTGTTCTCACGGGCCCAGAGAACCAACGCTTTCCTCCTGTTGCTATTCAGGGAAAACTCTATGTTCCTTCTGTGCCTTGCTTTGGGCTCAGATCATGTGTGTCCTCAATTTTCTGCCTTTTTCCTTAATACAATATTCTCAGCCCCATGTTGGTGTAGAATGTCTGAGTGCCCTCCTCTGTGAGGGAGGACTCCTGTGTGCATAGATGACACCCATTTTCACAGCTTTTTATTCAGAACATTTACTTGATTTCCATACAAAATTTTAAGTCCAGCTTTGATCCATTCTTAGAAATGTTGGTGACGTGTTGAATTTTCCTTGGGCTGTGACTAAAAGTTCCGTAATACTTTCATCCCTGACATATTTTCTGACCATGCACATGAAGCATTAACTTCAAGTGGGCAATCTACCCTGCAAGGCCCCTTTTAGTCTCTCTCCTGTAGCACTGTAACATTCCTCAAAATAGTAAAAATAGGCCAAGTATGGTGGCTCACACCTGTGATACTCACAATTGGTGAGATGATGCAGGAGGATGGTTTAAGCTCAAGGCCACTCTCACTGTGTTGTCCAGGCTGTTTTTGAATTTGTGCCATTTGTCCTTCCTCAGCCTGAAGGAATTACCTCCTTGTGCCACCAGTCTCAGCTGGGAATTGGAGAACTCTGATGTTATACCGAGGTCTGTGTGTTACAGCATTGTCTCTGACATTGCTATAGTTTATAGTTGTCAGTCCTGTACACTGCAGAGCTTACCAGGAAGGAATAAGGTTTGGGACTGTGATCTTCAAGGGCAGCGGGACTCTAGGCCAGGCTACTTCCTGTCTTTGGCTTCCTGACAGCTTGGAGATGAGATTCTCTTTTATACCTCCTCTCAATGTGCCCTGCTCCCATGGCACATGCCCACAAACATGGCAGCAAAATTTCCTCTTTTTTATGTCTCTCTGGTATTTGCTTACAGTGGAAAGCTAATGTGTGCAGTAACTCAGTAACGGAAATTCTTTTTTCCAGGTGCTGTGAACGGATTGATGTTGGGAACACTTGTGCGAGATATAAAAACCTTGAGTCTAATATATTAGACCATACTAATGATGACGGTCATGGAGTCTCTAAGAGTTTCTCACTAGAAAATGCAGCCAGCTACAACACAGATTCTCACCATTTTTCCCGATGCACTAAAATCTGTAACAAAGAAATAAGTATTATATGCTACTGTGCTGCAAAGCATGTCTTGGCTTTTGGACAAGAACTACTCTCCACAGAGTTCTGTTCTGCGTGAGCAACATGTTCTCTAGATCTTTCCCCATCTTGAAATTGAAGTTGGCCACAATATCTGAAACTTCAGTTCCCATGAAGTGCCAATGTCTTCCAGCATTTTCACTAAAACTAACATTTAAGGAATTTGAGTCAACTTGGTGACTCAGCCTAGTACCTGGAAAATTGATTCAGTAAGGCCCCAAGTTGAGGCCAATCTGGAAAACTCAGTGATTAACCAAGATGCTGTCAAAAAGAAAAGAAGGGCTTAGAACCTTGTTCAGGTCTAGGCCCTGGGTTTACCTCACCTTGTGATAACAACAAAGAAACAAATGTGATGAAATTTCTTAACCTTGTGGAGAATAATGAAGTGATCTGTCCTGACACGGTAACAGATGTTGAGAAGGTGAGAGGAGAGTTCATTATCTTATTTCTTGGAGAAAGCTGCATGCTGCTGATCAGTTTAAGAAGAAAAAATCCTCTTCTTTATTCTCGGCTCAGGTGCTCTTTGCAACTACAGAGAGAGGAGCCAATCAATTGGAAGGTCTCCATCTTTTCTTTCCCTTTTTTTTTTTTTTTTTTTTTTTTTTTTTTGGTACTGGGAATTGAACTCATGACCTCCGGCTTGCCACATGAGCATTTATACCACTGAGCTTTATCTCTGGGCCCCATCTTGATATTCATAATAGCATGATAAAGCTAAAAACTGCAATGAGAATTTTTATTTCAAACAAAGTGGAGTTACTACACCATAGATATGAGGGTAAATCTTGTAGCAAGGAAACCAGCCATTCCACTCCAGACACAAAATCTGACAAGTGCTAAGGACACAAAGACTGCAAATCCATCTCAGCCTAAGATCTACAGCCTAGAGGTAACAAGCACCCAAACATCATGGTCAGATTCTAGGACCTGGAGCTTTGACTTTCTAGACAGTTTTTAAGACTCTTCCTAATCTGAGGAGAATTTTAAGACAGGGTTTCAAGGGTGAATGATCACAGTTCTGGTCTTTCAATGCTGGTAGTGCTGAAGTTTAATTCATACCCTAAATGTGGGGGTACAAAGGCTTTTTGGGAAACAGACACCTAGCATTGCTCCAAGAACAAAATTTGAGTGTCTCCCAGTGTGGACTTCCTATGCCATACTGCGTGGTTCCACCCATTACCACAGACCTCGCCCCTGAACAAAACACTTCTAAATGCAGGGGGTGGATATCAGAATTGCTCTGCAAGGTGCTTGTGCTTGAGGGGGCACAAAGATGCTGGTAGCCAGGTTCCATTGTTTTTCTTTGTGTGTGCGTGCACTGAGCTACATCTCCAATCATGTTTTCATTTATGCTTTCACGTAGTCTCATTGTAGGACTGAAGTACTTTAGGTTGAATGTGCAGCTTGCCAATCTTGCAAGTGCTGGGATTACAGGCATGCGCTCCTGCCAACTCTGATGGAGAAGCCTGACTTTGAGTGGCTTCTTCCTTCATGGGAAATTTCCTATCTTCACTTGGTCTGCTTCCTCCACCTCTCTCAACTTCCTAACTCTTCCATCAGAATTTCAGATCATTCAATATTTCACTATTTCCCAATGGATTAGGGGGGAATTTCCATTAACGTTGGTCTCACTTATTTCCTTGACCCCATTAAAATTGATCCTGCGTATTTCACACACCTTCGTACCATCCCACGTATTACACACACCTTCATACAATCTCATCTGTCTGCCTTTGGATGTATTTCCTTCCAACTATGTTGCTTAAAAGTGTTTCCCTCTCCAGATGGCCTCCTTTTCTCTGATGCTCCCATCTTCCAAGATGTTCCTCTATGACCATGCCAGCATCAATGCTGTTAGATATTTTTTTCCACTGAAACAAACTGATGTATTTAACTCTTCTCATCATCTCATCTTACTCACAAATAGCTGATATAGTCTCGTTTATTTTCAGTTGTTTCTGCTTTACTAGATTTCCCCTCTATTATGTAAATGGGCCCTGATAAGTTGGGACATGAATCCTCTCTGATATGAACAACAAAATGATGTCCCTCCTTTCTTATGTCTTTCTCCTTCCCCTGCACCATTGGCAGGAAGTGTCTCTAGGGCAGATGGCTTTGCGTGTGTAGGGTTTATTGTGATTATTCAGGCACCCAAAGAGTTTCCTTGCTTCATGCCACTCCACTTGGGTTTTCTGCCTCAATCTCCATCCCTCATTTCCTGCTTTAAATGTATACGTTACACTCTTCTGCCTCTTATAATATCCTGGGGTTTTTTTTTGAGCCTGTTTGCTTTGCTTACCTGAAAAAAAATTCCAGATTCCTTTGCACATTTATGAAATTTTGTCCATTTTAAAGAAATCAGCCCAACACAATTATGCATATTTGATGTTTCAAAATAGTACATCTTTATTTTCTATGCAGAAGGAGATTCACAACTCTGTCCTCTTTTCAACACATGATTTTCACTACCTACCTGCTCCTATGCATGACAAAGGAAGCTGAGTTTCAGTGAAGCTGACTTTAAAAATGACAGTGCACAGTGAATAAGGAAGGACTGCGTGATTTATATTTGAAAGTGTGGTTGTAAGTATAACCACCTTAATATAAGTGTAATGCATGTATAAATATCACAGATAAAAACCTCCTTAAAAATAAATAAGCTAAAATATTTAAAGTTGAAATACCTAACACAAGCCATTATAAAAACAGGGTTACAGATATCTATACAATCTCAATATTACTAGAACAGAGTAACATTTCTATGGGGAAAATAGAGATAATAACTAGAGAAGGGTTCTTCCTATATTGAAAAGGAACCTATGACAGACCTATGGCCTTAATGTTCTATTTTTAGCAATTTCCTCCCAGAGTGGCACTCTACAGATCACTTTCTAAGGGTATCAGGTATATGGGGTACAAAGAGTATAAAAATAGCTGCTGTCCATTTTCTATCTCAGAAACAACTTGAACATAAAATGTAGAATGTGACAGAGAAAAACTGGATTCTAGTTCTCCCCCCAGGGGTTCCCAGCTCGAGGAAGTTTGGTGATTCTCCTTCGTTGCTTCCCAGGTCCCAGAGATCTGAAAGCAAGAGAGAGACACTGTCAGAATTCCTGGGGTCAGTTTTCTTGAAGAGAAGATGGACACTCACAAGACAGTTGAACTGCAAATTCCATCATCTGACAAATCCAGTTTCATCTCTGTCAATTCCCTCTTCAGTCATGTCTGGAATGATGATTCCCTGTTGTTTGCAGACTTTTGGACCCACATTCGAAAATCACTAGAGATGTTTAAGTTTAGACCCAGCTTCCTGATTCACGGGCACCATGTGAGGTGAGTCTTCTCAGGGATTAGAGCACCTAAGGTGGCACATGTCTTGCTAACTTACACCTTAATCATCTCCATAAATTTAACATCTGGACTTGTATCTGTGATGTGAACATGACTATTCTTTTCACTTCATGCCCATCAGGGTGCATGCCTAATGCCTCAGGCCAAGCGTGATGTCTCACACAAATACTTATTTGTGAATTTGCCTAATTGCAATTTAAATTTGTGAGTTTGGCTAATTTAAATCAAATCATTCCTTATTCTTTTGTCCAAATATTTACTGCGGTGTGTATACTGTAACAAGCAGCAACAAAGTTGTGATATCACTTTCTGTCATTTTACCAAACACCAATGAGGTTTATATGACAAGCTATCTAATTATCTGAGGGTAGAAATTCATCCACAATCAGAAAGACAAGGGATAGGAGAAACTCCCAGGGGCACTCAACCGGGAGCAAGGTGTCCACAGTCCACCTGGGAGGTACACACAGTGAGCGACATTAATCCATTTCTGTATATGCAACATCTTCCATGGGATAACTTCCTGCTCAACATTCTTTTTGTTAAAAAAAAGTCCCTGTCTTTGTTGTCCCTGAAGAATGAAAGGCCCTATCAAAATTACAAAGGATAAAAATACAACTTCTGGAGTGCATTAAAACGTTAAAAGTAGTAGGTATTCTCTTGGAATGAAAATGAACTTTTCATCCACACCGTGCTTTGCAAACTTTGAATGAAATCATTTCTACCAAATCACTGCTCAGGAACAATGTGTTTATGAGAGGTCTGAGTGAGCAGTTCTCCAGCACATGAAACCTCTCTCCAAGGTCATGTGTGTCTACTCGTCAGGGTGGTGGCTGTGGTGAGGAGAGAGAAAGGTCAACATTGTACCTGTGCCTGAGCTGATCCCTGAAGTGTAGACAGTGGTGGATAGGTTGGGGGGACCATGAGCAGGACACCATACATAGGTTCCTTCCATTTCTTAACTAGAGAGCATTAGTGCTGTCTGAATCGTGGGAACACACACTTACCTTTTTGAGGCCATTGTTCTCAGAGCTCCAGGGTTTCCTGAGGTAGGGTGCGATCTCGCTTCCACACCCAGAGCTCAGGGTCGTAAGCTTGGATCTAGAATGGAAAGCAGCCCCTGAGAGGATGAAGCCCTCCTGCAACACTACCTCCTTGTCCAGCTTCCATTTCTTTCTGATCCCCTGTTCCCAGAATCTCCTGTTCCCATCTGTCTCCAATCCAGCCCAGCCCTGCCAGCAGTGCTAAGGTCCCACCCACCTCCTCACACTCCTCTCGTGTCACCCTGAGGTCCCAGCCCATGCAGCAGATGAACTCATAGCGAAGCTTGTGGAACTTGGGAATCTGGGCCAGGTTCCACCCATACATGAAGAAGAACATGTCCAGTTTTGCCAGTTCATTGTCCTCTTCCATGTTGTTGGCTAAATAGCTGGGAAAGAAAGACAACTGCAGGTTAAGGGGCATGACAACCCAGGTCAGCTCTGGAAATGGAGAGGCAGTCTTCCTCTACTCAGCATCCCATCAACCCTACACCACACTGCTACTGGTCAGGGGTCAGTGGAGAGGCCAGTGCAGCACAGGGCCAATCTGAGGATTATTCTGGCCTGAATGCTCAGGATTGAAGCCCATATAGAGCTTGAGATGGACTTCTACCTGTGTCACCAAGTGTTGAGACCACCATCTTCCTTCCCTGAACCTCAACCTCAGGGCCCACACATACTCAGTAGGTGGAGAAAGGTGACCAAGTAGGTTTTTTTGTCTATTCCTCTCCTCCTAAATAGCAAGTATAGAGCTTGGAGCTTAGGAGCTATATGTTGTACTTCTTCCGTATCTGTTTTCATTGCTTTATCATCCATGGGTGGGGATATACCATAGAAAGTTTTTTGAACAAACAAAGGAAGAAAGGGCAGCTTTTTCTGTGAAAAAACTCCTTAAATGACATAATGTTAGACTGTATATTTTATTAAAGATGTACTGGAACACTGTAATTTGAAGCTCATTGTCATGCAAGTCAATAATGCAAACTGATTTAAAACTAGCAGACATATTAGGGTCCTCCAACCACAGCCAGGGAAATGACCCTCAAGGCCTCATTGAGAGACACAGTACTCACAGGGCCAGGAAGAAATGGATCCTCTGGTATTGCCATGGGAAGAGTCCAGCACGGCTAAAATACACAATGACCATGGCCAGGAGGTACTGATGGAGAGAGAGGAGGAGAGTCAGAGCAGGCATATTTGGAAAATTTGGGATGTGTGGACAGGGTTCACAGGTGACAGCAGGGCTGCACTTGGACAAGAGACCATGGTGTCCCTTGGGCTGGTTATTGGGGGGATATAAAGAGATTGGATGTTGTCTGCAAGGGAAAGCTTTCTTGATGTGAGAAGGCGGAGAAGAAAGGGATTCCACATTGCCCAGGTACCCAGGATGGCACCTGCAAAGGTCTGTTGGAGACAGGGGATTGAGATCACATGCATCAGAATGGGGTTCTTCAAGTTAGTGCAAAGGAGTTCTGCAGACCTAAGGGGTTTCAGGCAGTCCTAAGCAGACAAACCCTGTTGAGGGAAGATCATGGTGTGGGCTCAAATCCTAGAAGATGCAGGTAAAGGAAGATGAGATTTTTGAGTCTGCCAAGACCAACCAGGTGTGCAACTGAGACATTATTGAGACTCAATGGGGTTTGGAACATGAGAGGGGAGTTTTGAGTTCCAGGAGGGAAAGATGTAGGTCCCCAGTATTGGAACTCTGCCATTCCCATGCAATGGCATAGCCTCAACACAGCCTGTCTGAGAAAACTTCACCTTATCAGAGGCCCTCAGGTTCATGTCCCACGCCAGGAATTTTCTGATGATAGGATCCTCTGCAAAAGAGCTCAGTGTCAGTTTGGGAGTTGTGGAAGTTTTCAGTGAGAGAGAGAGAATGGGGAGTGAATCCCCTTCTGCCTGCGGCACGGAGCTGGAGGTGACCAGGGTCAGACAGATGGGAAACAGAGAAAGAATAACATTTACTGGGCAGAGAACTCATTCCTGCCTGCCCAGAAGAGCAACTGAGGTAGGGCCTGGGTGACAGCAGTTCTCTGCTGGTTTAGGATGGTGGGGCTGACTATGGTGGCGTCTTATGGCAGATGAATGCATGCCCTCAGAAGTCAGAAGTGATCCAGGTCATTTTCTCTTGTGATGGACACATGAGGGTGTGGCCATGACCCTGTCCATCCTCGAGTGCTACAGCCCTTTCCAGTCCTGAAAGTGAGCAAATCCGCTCCATCTGTGTGTCCATTTGGAAGCAAGCTTTATGCTCCCAAGACAGGAGGACATGTTTTGAGGACTGGGTCATCATTGTTGTCCGTGTGTTTAGGGCAGGATGGCAACAGAGTCCTTCAGTAATGGACAGCTTAGTTATTCCCCTTCTGAGTATTTTCCCACAAGAATTAAAAACAGCACACCCCAGCGACGTATGTATGCCAATTTTTATAGCAGCACAATTCATCATAGCTAAATCTTGGAAACAGCCCAAATGCTCCTCAACTGAGGAATGCATAAAAAGATGTGGTATTTTTACACAATGGAGTATTACTCAACTATAAAAAACGATCAACTGAGGGTTTCACAGGTAAATGGATGAGACCATACTCAAAAGGAAAATAAAGTGACCCCACATATGTAGCCATCGTATGGTCTCCCTGGTGTAGGAACCTGAATGAATAAGTAAAGCTCAAAACATAGAATAGATGATAGGAAAGGGAAATATATTGCTGAATGGAAGGAGCAACTGGGATGAGGGAAAGAAAGAAAAAGAAAGAAGGCAAGGAATATACATGAATAGCTTGGGTAACTGTATTGCTGATGTTGGATGGTATATTGAAACAACAGTTAATGCTTAAAATTTTTTATGTTCTGAACAATTGTGCATGCTTATACCTGGTATTCTGAGAAAGGATTTGAAGACAACAATATTCACCATAAACATGGTGAATACCTACCATCTTGGCTAGTGAAACTCTGTATTATCTCTAATGTTTCATCTAATAATTATTTCTTATGCTCTTTAATGGTTTGAACAATTTTCCATTCTTACATCTGGTAATCTGAGCAATGTAGTTGAAGAAAACCATATGTAACACAACAACCACTGTTAATTCCTATCATTTTGCTTGAAACCCTATATCACAATGAATGATTTTGCTTTGTTTTGTTTCTGTTTGTGATATAGGTATGCTGCTATTGTTTTTTTCTCGTTTACTCCTCTCTTTAAAATAAAAGAAAAGAAATGGGCAGCTTGAGCGGTACATAGTCCTTGCCTATGCTGATGAGGGAGGAGACTGGTAGTCTCCTGTGTTCCTAAGCAAATGGGTTGGAGGTGTGTTGGGGCGTGTCCTTACCCAGCAGCCTGGTGAAGGCTGCATGGTGTTCCGGCAGCACTGACAACAGGTGTTTCATCTTCCTCTTCTTCTTGAGGCCACAAGGCTTCTCTACGACACCTGTGTGTGTAGACGGCACAGGGCTTAGACATGCCCTAG